AAACCAATTGCTATGAAATTCAAAGTGTCACCAATCTTTAGACTACACTAATAAGTAAGCACAATTGGATAATGTTACCTATGGTGAGTAAAATGGCGGCTCGTCTCTGATTCCAGCAAACAGAAGAAAGGAAACAGTGGGGACGCACGTTCTAACCTAACCTATTCTAATAAATTACCATAATTATTACCAACCAAATTATTAGAATATGTTAGGTGAGGTTAGGTTTGAACGTGCGTCCCCAATGTTTCCTTTCTTCTCTTTGCTGGAATCAGAGACGAGCCGCCATTTTACTCACCATAGGTAACATTATCCAATTGTGCTTACTTATTAGTGTAGTCTAAAGATTGGTGACACTTTGAATTTCATAGCAATTGGTTTCTGCGACAAGCACACCTATTTGTGGTACATTTATTTGTGGCAAAGATCTTATTTTCACTTTACCGAGTGCCTAGTAGGTAATGTGTGGATCACCTAGATACTCTGCACATTATCTAGGTAATTTGAGAAATGGAGCAATTTTCACAACTTTAACGGATCACCCTAGTTAATCTGCAGATTAGCTAGGTAATCCGCAGATTAACGATTTTCGAGCTTTAGCGGTAACATACAAGTATACATAAAAATGTTTTCAAAAGTAAACACAGCAAGTGAAAAAGATTCCAAATGATTGCTTTACCAGTATTTCTCTTAGAATAAATTGAACATGCACAAAAAGCAGAAATGGATTAACATACGTAATACACATTCCGATGATAAATACAGAATGCGAATATAGTAAAATGAGCTTATAATAAAAGCGACACACTGCGAATGAAAACATTAACTTGCATAAAAAAGGTGGACATGGTAAGGGTATTTTATATATGCTACTTTTAAAACAGAAAAAACAATAACCAAATTGATGAAGAGTATTGATATATCCAAAATGCACATAATTAGTTTAAATTTACGATTTATGTATCCGTTGTCATAAAAATTTGTCTTTCCACTTTTTTGCTGAGACTACAAATATTCAAGTACAAAATAACCGGTTTCGACTTATTTCTACATAAGAAGTAGTTAAATAATTAAGCGATTAGGAAATTAGGGACATAAATAAAACCCTGCTGAAAGAGCCAGAATTTTACTTAAACAAAAGCTTAACCGAACCATCTCTAGCCGAGTACAGTGGGGACTGATTTCTTCAAAATATTAGATGTAATAAAGACAGAAAATTTTCCAGTTCAACGAAAGTGACCGAAAAGTGGTAAATTTTGGAAATTTCCGTGGACAACACCTGGTCCTAAAACGAATTAGTTAAGAAACAATTGACTATTAAGTTTAACATATTTAGATTTTCACAGCTATGGTGAGAAACGTTTAAAATCTACAATAACCCTGTCATGTCCTTTGAGATATACTAGTGATGCGACAAAAGAGGTATTTGACATTGACCAGTTTCGGCACCCTCGGGATTTGGCATGCATGCACGCACTGCACACCTACAAAGATCATCTGTGATTCCATCCATAAGACGCTGGTAGGGAGCAATTTTAACTAAGTGGATTGTTTTAATATTTAAAAAGTAAAGAATATTTTATGTTATTTTTAAGTACGTTTCTTTACAAAACTATATTTAATTATAATCTTCTTTAAAAGTATATTCATACAATTGAATATTTTGTACCAGGTATGTATAATTGTATATCCATCACACATTTTATTTTACCAAGTGAGTTTTTATAATTTTATTTTTAATTTTAGTCCTTATATCATGGCTAGCGATTCAAAATGTAATTGTGATATTGAAAATTTATTTTTAAAAAGTTTTGGCTCAAGACCATATAATGAAAAAGAAAACATTATTAAAAGAGAAAGATCAATGCCTAAATTATAAATACGTCAACAAAAAAATTTGTTGGACATTTTCACGATAAAGTTAATGAAGGCATAAAATGGCTTTGTGGATGCATAAAAATGCAAAAATTGTTTTGTTGGCCTTGCCTATTATTTTCAAATAAAATTAGTGTGTGGAATGAGAATGGCTTTGACGATTTAAATAATTTGAGTAAAGCTAGCAAAAGACACGAAAATCGTAAATGTCACAATGATTCTTTCGTAAAATTGAAGCAATTTGGAAATCAAAGCAGAATAGAATTTAACATTAGTGAACAATATAAAATAAATATTGAAAATTATGTGATATTGACAGTGGCGTGCCGTGACATTTGATGATAGGGAAGCTGTGTTTTTATAAGAAGCCGACTTCCAGGGGCAATCAGTCAGCAATGGTCTACGGTCCATTCGTATTCGTTTGTTCGATAAACCAGTAAAAACCGTAGACTTTTCTAAATGTATTTTTAATTAATAGATTATCTAACGCACTTAATAAATAAGCAAGTTCAATATAATTAACTCTGTTATATTAGATTTAATAGATTCTCTACGCCCTCTAAATGCCAATTCTCGCTTCGATAACATCTACTAATTAAAATATATCTATTAGCCGTAACTATCTTGTTATAATTTTCAATATATATTTTATATTGTGTACTAATGTTAAATTCTATTCTATTTTGATTTCCAAATTGCTTCAATTTTACGAAAGAATCGATGCGAGATTTAGGATTTTCGTGTCTTTTGCCAGCTTTACTCAAATTATTTAAATCGTCAAAGCCAATCTCATTCCACACACTAATTTTATTTGAAAATAGTAGGCAAGGCCAACAAAACAAATTTTGCATTTTTATGCATCCACAAAGCCATTTTATATCTTCATAAATTTTATCATGAAAATGTCGAACAAATTTTTTCTTTTTCATTATATGGTCTCGAGCCAAAACTTTTTGAAATAAATTTTCGATATCACAATTACATTCTAAATTGCTAGCTATAATATAAGGGCTAAAATTAAAAATAAAATTATAAAAACTTACTTGTTAAAATAAAATGTGTGATGATATACAATTATACATACCTGGTACAAAATATTCAATTGTATGAATATACTTTTAAAGAAAATTATAAATATAGTTTTGTGAAGAAACGTACATAAAAATAACATAAAATAGTCTTTACTTTTTAAATATTAAAACAATCCACCTAGTTAAAATTGCTCCCTACCAGTGGCTCGTGGATGGAATCAGAGACGGTCTTGGTAGGTGTGCGGTGCGGTGCATGCTTGCCAAATCCCGAGGGTGCCGATACCGGTTAATGTCTCTTTTGTCTCATCACTAGTATATCTCAAAGGACGCGACAGGGTTGTTGTAAATTTTAAACGTTTCTCATCATAGCTGTAAAAATCTAAATTTGTTAAACTTAAAAGTCATTTGTTTTCTAACTACTGTAATTCGTTTTAAGACCAGGTGTCCACGGAAATTTCCAAAATTTACAACTTTTAGTCACTTTCATTGAACTGGAAAAATTTCTGTCTTTATTACATCTAATATTACGAAGAAATCAGTCCCACTGTACTCGGCTAGATATTGGTCCGGTTAGGCTTTTGTTTAAGTAAAATTCCGGCTCTTTCATCAGGGTTTTGTTTACGTCCCCAATTCCCTAATCGCTTAATTATTTAACTACTTCTTAAGTAGAAATAAGTCGAAACCAGTTACTTTGTACTCGAATATTTGTAGTCTCGGGAAAAAAGTGGAAAGACAAATTTTTATGACAAACGGATACATAAATCGTAAATTTAAGGAAAATAAATTCTAGAGCTTTTTCTGTACCTCGTGCATCTCTCTCATTCATTAAATTTAGTTGTAAATGATGCTGTCAAAGTAACAGTTAATTTTTTAACATTATACAAGAATTGTACACGTTTTTTTCTACATCCCCTTAAAGATGGGATATACGAAATCGTAATATCACTGGTTTAACATCGAAATCCGTGAGTAATATAAAATCGGAGAGCGGAATAAATATATCAAATATTTTAATGGATTTTTTAAACTCCTGTCAACTATACAGAACTATCGTAAAAACATACCAGTAAATTCTTATCGGTTGGGTTAAGTTATAAATCTACTCGTTATTCACGTAATCGAAATATCTAGTGGGCAGGCGGCTAACAGCCCAGAACCGGTCCTTGATAGAATTGGAATCTTTATATGTGTGCAGCTTTCACCCAAGGTCGTAGGCTTCCACCGGCTAAACCGGGTGAGGTTGGTGCTCTGTAAAGCGCATGCGCAAATCTGGCTTTTCGTAATCTGAAAATACAGGAGATTCTACTCCGCCACTAATATTCTAATATACAATAGCAATTTTTTTTTCCACGTGTAGTATAGAAATTTGTAATAAGATACATAATGCGGTTATAATAAAATATTGTGCGATTATTTTCATATAATTAAAATTAATATTTATTTATTTTTTAGAGAATATGAGGGAAGCGGCGCTTCCAACGCTTCTAATGACGGCACGCCACTGCTAATAGATATATTATATCTACATTAACAAATGTTATATGTTTTTTTATCAAAGCAAGAATTGGCATTTAGAGGGCGTAGGGAATCAATTTATCTAATAACAGTGGTAATTATATATTGAACTTGTTTATTTATCAAGTACAGTAGACCCCCTATAAAACGGGTTCATATGATACGAATTCGTATATAACGGCGAAAAAAATGCGATCGTATTCGTATAAACACTCTAAAAGAGACTCGTATAATACGGTAAAATTGCCGACTCGTGTCACGACAGGATTGGTCGAATCTAGACCAATAGCGGATATTGCACAAACCGTTGAGTTTAAACGAGCAGCGGACCTACTAAAAACCATTTATTATTTAACAACCATAAAAATTATATTTATATTAATGATGTCGCCAAAGTTCAGCAAATTTTTCGCAGAAAAATAATTTATCGGGAAATGCGCCCGCCGTTCAATGTGCCGCTCCACGACGAAAACAAGCTTACGCAATGGCGTCGTCGAACGGTGGGCACTCGGTAAGTAATCCTACAATTTTTTGTTTATAGCATAGCTTATATGGATTATTCCAAAAAATTATACGTGTTTTGGAAATGTTGAGTCAAATTAGTCTAGAATCGATTAATTTTATGGAAGAAAACCTTTCAAACAACCGTAGTTCGTAAACAGCACACTTGTGATTGGCTCATGTATTTAAGGACTCGTAGAAAACAATGTTGCCACGACTACCGAATTTTCGATAGATCTACCGATCTACCGATTGAAGCACTAAATCTACCGAAAAGTTTACGATAATTCAAGAAAGACATTTTTTTTTTCAATGTATCTAAAAATTCTCAATAAAACATTTCTTTTTACCTTCATTTCTTATATATTGTAAGAGAATTTATTGCAAAGACTCTATCTCGTTTTGTTGAAAATATCTTGTGTCTGCTCCATTCTTCAGCTAATGTAGAAAGAATATTTTCGTAAATAAATCTGTTAAAAACGAAACAGAAATAAACTGAGATCTGAAACAATCACTGGCTTACTTCTTACTAAACAATTAATTGGAAAAAATTACTGTTACGATTTTCCTGTAAAAGATAATTTAATTTTAAAAATAACAAACAGAGTGTTAAAAAACATACAAACAGAAGATATTGAATAATAATTATTATTAATAATTAATATTCGAAAAATAAAAGGTAATATTTTGTTAGAAAAATAAGACAAAATGTACCTACTTAATTAGTAAATTATTATTTTTTTACGTAGGTGTTCTGTGTTAGTTTTTTGTTTTTTATTGTTTTATAGNTTTGTTAGAAAAATAAGACAAAATGTACCTACTTAATTAGTAAATTATTATTTTTTTACGTAGGTGTTCTGTGTTAGTTTTTTGTTTTTTATTGTTTTATAGTTTATAATAAAATAAATGACGAAAAAGAATGTTATTGCTTATGTGCAACACCCTTACTGCCACAAAAAGTCGTTTTACCGAAATCTACCGAAAATTGCCTAAGGAATCTACCAATGGCAAGCAAATCGGCGTGGCAACACTGGTAGAACATGAATTTCATAAAACACGGAACGTATCTACCGTGTTATAGGGGGTCTACTGTACGTCAGATAATCTATTAAAAATACATTTAAAGAAGTGTACGGTTTTTACTGGCTTATCGTACAAACGAATACAAATGGACCCTGACACGCAATTAACTGATTGCCCATGTAAGTCGGCTTCTTACAGAAACACAGCTTCCCTATCATCAAATGTCACGGCACGCCACTGATATCTACAGCAATAGTTATAAACTACCGTAAGGTCTTTTCCGTATCCGTAAAGGAACAAACTATTTTACGGAATACGGTACGGCCATACGGTTACGTTACGGAGTTTATAACTCAACCCTAGTGTTACCACTCGTCCGGTTTTCACCCAGACAGTCCGGGAATTGACTCACTGTCCGGGTGAACTATTAATTTTGTCCGAGAATTTCGTAGAAATTGTGAAATTACGATGAAACAACGTTCTTGGAAATATTTTTACAAATTTACACTATTTTAACAGCGAAAGAACTACAAGTCTGCCATGTTAGTCTGTTTACACCGACGTGTGGAGCACAACCTGTCGACCTTTTTCTTTTGGCTTGTAGGATCGTACACGTCTCCAATATCCAATAGAGCTAAGTCTAAGTCACTGTTTCTCAACCTCTAAAGAATCGTCGCCCCCTTCAACGTAGTATCGCCCCCTTCAATAAAACCGTTACGTAGTATCGCCCCCTTCACTTCAAAATTCCGATGCCGAGGGCCAAGGCTAACGTCAAATTCGTACTGCATTGAATAGACTAGTGACTAGTATAATGTTATTTGTTTAATTATTGTACGATATAACGAATAAAATATCTAATTATTCTTAATATAATGTTTTACTATATCGCCCAGAAAATTGTTTTTCGCCCCCCAAAATATAAATTGTTACTAATCGCCCCCTCAACATGGAAAAACGCCCACATGGGGGCGATATCGCCCCCGTTGAGAAACACTAGTCTAAGTCATCTGTACCTGATGTTTCTTAATTTAGGTTACATAGGTTACTTACGTTACTCCTACGCAAGTCCCTAGTCCCTAACTATAACTGATTTAAAACCGGCATGCACATTAGTCTTCGCGTTGTGAAATGACATTGCGCATGCGCAGTGGCGTAGCGAACATAACTGGCTCCCGGTGCACGACACTTTTATTTACGCCCCTCTCCCACCTCCAGAAACACATATAGTTTGTCTTGGAGACCATTTGGGCGCCCCTCTGCGAGTGGCGCCCGGTGCATGATACACCCCCTTGCATCCCCCTCGCTACGCCACTGCTCATGCGTCAGGAACTTCTGTTCTAACAAACCTGACCTGCCGTCCGGGTCAGCGATTTTGAAAAAGTGGCAACACTATTCGACCCTAAGAATCCAGGTGATATCACTCCAGTTCAAGGACGTTGGAGATGTGGTTGAGCTTATCGAGTATCCTCCAGACGCATAATCATAATCAATTATCTCATCACACTCCTAAATACCTCTCTCAATATGTCCATTCAATTTCTCTTTTAATTTTTTCAAATGGGTTAAGATTCTCTTTAAATTTATTTTCGAATGTTTGTTTACTTCATAATGAACTTTTGGTTTCTCATGAAACGAAATTTGAAAAATGCCAGATCTTGATGGTTTTAATAGGGAATACAATGACAACATTGTGGGTACAGTAAATATATAGTTCAATACATAATGACATATGTATTATATTAATTATGTAGTTGCAAAAATGTCGGAAAAGCAGAATACAGTAGAGCGTCGTTTATCCGAATCAATTGGGGACTGGGGTTGTTCGGATAACTTATTTTTCGGATAACCAATTATGTACGAAAAAATATATTAATTTATCCCGTGTTGAAATTTTACTCCGTTGCGTGTCGCTTCGCGTTGAATTTTCGTCGATGTTAAGCCTAACGAAGACTATTGTATCGTTAAAAATTATTTTGTTTATTTTGTACAAACAAAATAAATATATTGAAAAATATAAAAACAATAAAAATCATACTTCAGAAGTTAATTTAGTATCAAAAACGTAAAATATTCGAGTAGGCGAAGACATAGCCAAAGATTACAGCGCCACAGCACTGGCGAAAATTAAAATTTGTCGACTGGAATTCTTTCGGATAACCGACGTTTCGTATAACCGACCTTCGGATAAACGACGCTCTACTGTATTTATTTTGACATGCAGCTCTTTTGATTGTCCCAAAAAACCGCCGTAATAAAAAATATTTGGTTATAATTTTTATACACTGGTGTAGAAAAAATGCAGCAATTACAAGTATGCTTTAGGTTATGTGTTGGTTTATTTAAAAACTTTTTCGAAGTGCTTTGTTAGGTTTAGATGGGCGATCCGAAACAAATTGGGCACCGCATTCTTAGTTTGTCAAGGAGTTTTATAAGGAAAGTTGATAATTTCCTTCTTATCTTTATATACTCTCCACAACGAAGAATTTGATGCGGAGCAAAATGCTTTTCACAAATATCGTAGCGTTCGGTCAATTCTCGATCTGCACGCGGTATCGCTCGTTTCCATCTTTTAAACAATTCCAAATCTTTTGGTGCCTTAAATACATTTACTATCTGTTTCTTTGGATAATAATCGTCTTTTCAATTATGCACGCATCATTTAAAATACATAATTTTGAAAGAATTTCTTAAGAACACTACGTAATTTATGGACCATCCCTTACCAGTGATTATTTGGAAAGCTACAATTTTGTATACGGCTAATAGACCTACCCTGTGGGCACTAAGATGGCCTTTTTTTAGAAAGCTCATTATGAGTTCTAGTCAACAATGGCTGCTGCCAGGTTTTGAGAGATCCGATTTGTGCAGATGGATCACTCCGAAAAATGTTTTTTTTTTTTTTTTTTCCTACCCGTCCAGATTTAACTGCGGATCTACTAGAGCGGTAGGATGCCACCTTAACACTGTAATATGCAGTGCAGTAAGATCTCTGTAGAAGCCACATAATAAAAGCAAATAAGTTATCGAACGTAAAGCTGTAAATACAATACAGTATAATAAAATTAATACTTGAATAAGTTTTTAAAACATATTTTTTTAAAATGGGTAGTACAATAAATACTTAGTTACATTTACCCACCGCTACGCCGAAATGGCGCATCGATTTCGCCAATCTTTAATAAGATGTTACATTTATATTATATTCGAATTTAATCACAAATAATAATATTATTTTTATGCAATTTTATAAATTTGATATTAAAATATAATTTAAATTCATTAAATGCTTACTTTTAAGAAATAATGTTTTTTTTATTTATTTATTAAATAAACGAAGGATTCAAGATGGCGACCAGATTAGATTTGAGGCCCAACAGGAATTTGTTAGACTCGAAATTTGAAAGCTATCGCCTTTCTTTAGACCCTCTTCCGATATTAAAACAAAATCTACAAGAAGGTAAATTATTATTTATTATTTTAATGTTTATATTATTTATTATAACATTGGAATATGAAGCTATGTGACAAATATGACAATGTTTGTGTACATTTTGCATAATGTTTTTTGATGAATCTTGCTTGAGAATATTCTGAATTAAATTATAAATGATTCACTCAGTTGTGCAGTTATTAAAGCATTATACATTGATTAGTGCAGTGCAATCTTTCAAATGCAAACTCTTCAATGCTGAGATGTTATCAAAAGGATGCTAAATCAGTAAATATTGATGGTAAGATTGCACATGAGTCTGTTGGGACCTTATCAGAGCTGTAGACCATGCCCATAGTCGTAAAAAAAAGTGAAAGGAAGTATGGGCATGGTCTACAGCAGTGGTTCTTGATGTTTTTTGTGTCGTGGATCCCTAAAGCTCCTGTACCTTGATGGAATGGCCAAGCAATCATGTCAGCCTACCGCTCTGGGAAACCTGGGAGTGAATCTGGACGAGTCAAGAAAGCCCCAGGAATTTTCCAGGTGGTAGACTGTCTGGATATGTCGGATGCTGTCCCTAACCACCCAACCACCCCATTGGGCCTGGCTGAACCCATAATGGGCTTGCTAAAAAAGGCCCTCTTAGTGCCCACGTGGCAGAAAGAGTTAAAAATAAAAAAACCATGATGGACTGCACCACTGGTTGAGAAATGCAAGTATATGCCTCTGAAAATATCCCAACGGCCTTTTTCTTAGCTGCAATAACCCACCATCAACTACTGTAAATCATTGAGCTATAATTCGGCAATAATAATAATAAATTACAAATTTAATTATTTAATTAAATTGTAATTAGCAAATTCAATATGAGATGGCACCTAATGCCTCCTTCTAGGGCAGTATTAGGCATTATTATTGCCAAATTATAGCCAGATGATTTATGGCAGTTGATGGTAGGTTATTGCTATGTATCGGGTTTAGTAAAGTTGTTTATATTCGTAGCTGCAT